GGCTCCGGGGCGGAGCGGGGTGGGGGGGCAACCCCGGGGGTTGCGCTCCTGTAGCCGGTCCCGGTCCGGTACGGGCGCGACACTGAGGGTTGCGATCCGTTGCCGGTCACGAAAAAAGACAAAAAGAAAAAAAAAAAAAAGTTATGGTAATTTTGTTTTCCTTTCTGAATACAAAATTTTAGGATGAAATTTAAAGTTGAGTTAGTTGCAATTTCACTTTAAAATTAACCTCATCGAATTTTAATAAAAGCATTCCTATTTAATTTTGTTGCTACAAACGTATTTAACATACTCAGGTGGGAAGTACTGGGCAGATATCAGTGTTGTACTGATATTGGTATAAGGAGACAGGTTACCTCACAAAAAGAATTATGTCACTGTTCCCACCTGCGATGGGCCTTCTGTCAACCCCATTCTCTTCTGGAACAGGTCTGCAGAGGCTGTGAGGAGCAGGAGACCATACTGCTGCTTCTTTCCTGCTCATGCAAAGGTGGATCTGTGTGGTTAAGCTGAGTAGCAGAGTCTTAGCTATGGAGATGCAGAAACTACCACACCTGACTGATGCAGGTGTTCAAATCCCTGTAACCACTCATGATAATAACAGTCAAGATCATGGCAACCCAACAGTAGTTGAGTGCCCACTCGGTGTGCTAGGCTCTGTGGTAATAAGGACTTTGTGTGCATTTTATCATTCACTCCTCAAATATCCTCTGGGAGTTACATGCTGTCACAATTTCCTTCTTATTTATAGGGAAGGCTCAGAGAAGATAAATAAAATGCCCAAGGTCACACAGTCAGCCATGTCAGAGCCAAGACCGAAAGGACCATGAGTCTCTCAGATTCCAAAGCCTCTTAAGCACTACTTTGGACTTGAATTCTAAGAACATCCTTGGTATACAGTTTGGGGAAATTCTTGTTTTCTTGGCTAGTTCTCTAACATAAACTCTGTCATTTTCTTTCCAGGCAAGAATTGTCAGACTGTATTGGCTCCCTGTTCCCCAAACCCTTGTGAGAATGCTGCTGTTTGCAAAGAGGCACCAAATTTTGAGAGTTACACCTGCTTGTGTGCTCCTGGCTGGCAAGGTAACCACATGGGCGTGGAGAAGCCAAGAACATGCATTCTGAACTTTAAAGAGAGTGGTCAGGTCAGCAGAGGACATGGTAAGCCCTGGTCTACTGAGGCCCGCGCATCTTTGTCAGGAACACAGGCTTTGCGCAGGAACTGCAAACTGGAATGGCTTAGAAAGCCCTTTGGTTGTCCATGTCTTTGGGGCCCCCTAGCGGCTGAAGACTCCAACCTGAGAGTTCTTTCTACAGGGAATTTTAGCACCACGGCAGCAACTTCCCAGGGTCACAGAAGCCTTCTTGGGACTTCCTAAAGCAGGAGACCAACCGTGTCTTAGGAGCAGCCCCATCCACACCAACAAAGCTCAGGCCCCACCTAGATTTCTGTGGAAATCAGCTTCCAAAGACTGGGTTATTTATTGCCCTTGTGTTTCTAGGTCAGCGATGTACAATTGACATTGATGAGTGTATCTCCAAGCCTTGCCTGAACCACGGTCTCTGCCATAACACCCAGGGCAGCTACATGTGTGAGTGTCCTCCAGGCTTCAGTGGTATGGACTGTGAGGAGGACATTGACGACTGCCTTGCCAGTGAGTATGCCAGCAGCTTCTATACCCATGAGTGAGAGGAAAGCACACGGGGAGCAGAGGGAGCCTAGAGGAGGCTGCTGCCTCTCACGCTGACACTGACCACATCAGTCATGTACTGAGTATGTTTAACAGAAGTGTTTCTGAGTCTTCCTTTCGAAGCTAGTGTCTTTAGGAGTTGAGGGAGTGGAATTTCTTTAAAGCATTCACCTTAATTTTTGGACGTTGACCAAGTGGGCACAATGTTTTGGTAGGCTTTTTTTTTTTTTTTTTGTCTTTTTTTGTGACCGGTAAGGGGATCGCAACCCTTGGCTTGGTGTCGCCCACACCGTGCTCAGCCAGTGAGCGCACTGGCCATCCCTATATAGGATCCGAACCCGCGGCGGGAACGCTGCTGCGCTCCCAAGCGCCACACTCTCCCAAGTGCGCTACGGTGCCAGCCCTTGGTAGGCCTTTTTTAAAAAACAGATTTATTGAGGTATAATTAACATATAATAAAATGCAAGTATTTTAAGTGTACATTTTGACAAATTTTGACATATGAAAACCGAAACCATCACCCAAAATTATGAACTGATTTATCTCCTTAAAATTATCCACTTCCCTTTGTAATTTATTCTTCCTCCTACGGCCTTTTCCCATACAACCACAGATCTATACTCTGTCACTATAGATTAGTTGACATTTTTTACCATTTTACATAAGTGCAGTTATATAAGCATACTCATTTTGGAGGGGTGTTCTAACTTGTTTCGTTCAGCATGATATTTGAGACTGGCTATGTTGTTCTTTATATCAGCAGTTCATTCTGTCTTATTACTGCATAGCATTCCATTATATGGATATACTACAGCTCACTAGTTGGTGGCCACTTGGTTTATTCCAGTTTTGGGGTATTACAAATAAAGCTGCTATGAACGAGTCTTTGTGTGGACATATAAGTATTAATTCAAAAGAAATGAAATCATGAGTGGAGTAGGTGAGTCATGCAGTAGGTGTTTAACTTTTTAAGAAATTGCCAGAATGTTTTTCAAGATGGTTATATCATTTTCATTTCCACACAGATTGTATGAAAGTTCTGGTTGAACTACATATTCAGGAACAATTGCTAATATTAATCATTTTAATTTTAGTTCCTCTAGTGGGTGAATAGTGGTACCTCATCATGGTTTTAATTTCCATTGTTTACTAATGATGTTGAGCATCTTTTCATGTGCTTTTTGACCATCTGCATGTCTTCTTTCGTGAAATGTCTATTCAAATTTTTTGCACGTTTGAAAAAATTGGGTTCTTATTGAGTTGAAAAAGTTCTTTTTATTCTAGATAGGCATTTTTTTGTCAGATATTTGCTGTACAGCTATTTCCTCTCAATATATATCTTTTGAAGAGAAAGATTTTTATGTTGACAAAATCCAGTGCACTGATATTTTTCTTTTATAGTCCTTTCTTCATGCATCTTGTTAACAAATATTTGCATAATACAAAGTTGCTGAGGTTTATCTCCTATGATGTCTTCTAAATGTTTTGTACTTTTAGCTCTTACCTTTAGTCTATGTGGTATTTTGAGTTAATTTTTACATATAGTTAAAAGTCAAGACTGATTTTCTTTTGTAATACCAAACTCATTTAGTTCTATGTTCCTAGGTTATTCTAGATTAGTTTAGATTTCTAGGATTTTCTACAGAGACAATCATGTTATTTATAAATAAAGACAACCTTTATGCTTTTTAGTTCTTTTTCAAATCTTTGTACTATTTTTTTATTTTTCTTGCATAGTTATACTGGCTAGGACCATCAGTAAATGAAGAGTAGAAGTAGTGAGAGAAGCCAATCTTGCCTTGTTTTTGATCTTAGAGCTTTGAAAGGCTTGTAGTCTTTCATCATTAAGTAAGACGTTACCTGTAGGTTTTTCCATAGATGCCCTTTATCAAATTGAGGGATTTACCTTGTACTTATGGTTTGTTGAGAGTTTTTTTTTCTTTTTATAATGAATGACTGTTGATGTTTTTTCAAATGATTTCTCTACATCTGTTGAGATGATGCTATCATTTTTTTTTTGTTATTTTAATATAAGTGAATTATATTCATTGATTTTTAAATGTTAAGCTAATCTTAATTTCCTGGGATAAATTCCCCTTGATTATGATTAATTATCCCTTTTATATATTATTGGATTTGATTTGCCAAAATTTTTTAAAGGGTTTTTGTATCTGTGTTCAATAGTGATATTGTTCTTCAGTTTTCTTTACTATTTTTGCCTGGTTTTGATAGAAAGGCAAAGCTGGCCTCACAGAACAAATCAGTAAGAGTTCCCTTCTATTCTGTTTTTTGGAATAGTTTGTGTATAATTGGTGTCTATTTCTTCCAAACATCCAGGCATAGAATCTTCTTTCTGGGAAAGTTTTTAACTACACATCAATTCCTTTAATGCATACAGTTGCCTTTTCCAGATTCCTGAAGCTGCTGCACTCATTGGTTCTTGGCCCCCTTCCTCTGTCTTCAAAGCCAGCAGTGTTGGATCTCTCTGCCCCACCCTCTGTAATCACATTGTCCTCTTTCCAGCTCTACAAGCTGTTTTTGATTGAGTTTTGGTAATATGTGTCTTTCAAAGAATTAGTCTATTGTGTCCATGTTCTCACATTTATAGGTGTAGAGTTGTTCATAATATTCCCTTATTGTAATTTTAATGTCTATAAGATCTGTGATGATTTTCTTTCTCTTATTTCTGATATTGGTAATTTGCCTCCTCTGTCTTTGAGAGAGAAGAATGTCTATTTTGTTGTGTGTGTGTGTGTGTGTGTGTGTTTTTGATGGCATATTCTATAAATGTTATTAATTCAAATTGGTTATACATCTGTTAGGCTGCCTGAAGTTGTCCCTCTGGTCACCAATGGTTTTTTTTTTTTTTTTTCTTTTTTAGTGTTCTTTTTCCCCCACAGTGCTTCATTTTAGATTATTTTACTACTGAAACTATCTTGCTATATTTTTAAGTTCACTACTTGTTTCCTCTGTAGTGTCTTTTTTTGTTGTTAATCCCATTCAGTATATTTTTTCCCCTCAGATATTGTATTTTTATCTCTAGAAGTTCTACTTGAATCTTTCTTACAACTTTTATCCTTCTCCTTGTCATGTTCGTGGTTTTTTTCCTTTCTTGAACATATGGAATATAGTTGTTTTATAGTTGACAATAGTTCTTTTATTGTCCTTACCATATGGGAAATTCCTGGGTGTTTTTATTCATGGTTTTTCTACTCATTATGATTTGCATTTCCTGCTTCTTTGCTGGCATGGTAGTTTTTGGTTGGGTGCTAGACATTGTCACTTTTACGTTATTACTGGCTCAATTAAATATATATATATATATGAATATATGCATAAAATATATATAAATATAAATATATATATGTGTATATTCAGTATTTTGAGATTTGTTGAGGGACTCAGTTATTTGGAAACAGTTTAATCCTTTTGAGTCCTTACTTCAGGGTTTGTTAGGTGGGTCCAAAACAGCCTTTAGTCTAGGGCTAATGTTGCTCACCACTAAGACAGTACTCCCTTAGGACTCTACTCAGTGTTGCACATGCTTTTTCATTCTGACTGAAGGAACATAAGCTATTCTCAGCCCAGTGAAAACTCTAGGGATTATTCTGCCTACTTCTTTCTGGTAGTTCTTCCCCTAGTCTAAATAGTTTTATCGCATGTGTGTACTGATCAGTCCTCAGTTACTTGTGTAGTGGTTAAATCGTCAAACTTCAAATGAGATTATCACAACGAATTAAGAATAATGGCACCTTAATTAACAGTCTCTATAATTTAAGATCATTATAGGAGGGCACCATGCTAGATGCTGGCCATACCAAGATAAATAAGACCTAGTAAGCTTATGACTAATGAAGCTCACAATCTGTTAGGGGAGAAAGACATGTAGACAAAAATTCTAACAGTGTGTGACGAATAGTGAAAAAAACTATATGTTCAAAGTACAATTGATGGAGAACTTTTAGGAAGTTGAGTCAAACTATTTGGATTCCTTTCTCCCATTAATTAGTATGTCAGCCAAAAATGTTCAGTATTAAAATTTCTTTTCTTCATGAAATGAGACCAGCAATATTTACAATGAGTTTAAAACAATTCTGTAAATTATGGTGAGTTTCCTGAAAGATGCTGTGGAAATTATAGTAGCTGTGTACGGTGGTTGAGAAGCAATAAAATAATTTTTACGATTGCTGTAATAGAGACTGCAGATGAGTCTTAGAATGGAATTAGTTTAACAGATGAATAAGATATGTTAAATATCTCTCTAATAAAATAAGGACTACATTATCCTTTAGTTTAGTGTTTAGTTTTCTTTTTACATTTATGACCTGTCTTTGCAATCGTATGATTTTAAAATCCTTAAGAGCAGTGGCTACATCTTGTTTTTCTTGTTCTGATTTGTATGCTGTCTATATTGTAGAGGGCTATGGCATAGCATGATCATATCTCAAAATTTGTTGGTTAATTGCTATGAGTGTAAAGTGTTCTAAAATCAAGCTATATGATGTTTAAAATTTTAAAATTCTTTGTTTCCTAAGGCTACCTAATTCTAAGAGAGAGAGAGAGAGAGAGAGAGAGAGAGAGAGAAGCACAGGGTGAGGATTAATTTATATAATATGCCTGGAACAAAATGAATATATATATTCTGTCCTCTCCTACCTACACCGTCGCACATACCTTTTGAAAATATCGATTGTTATTCCTGATACTCTGTGTGTTGGGGTACATTTGATTTGCAAATGTGTGGAGGATAGATGAAGTTTATCTTGATTATCAAACAGGTTAAAAATTTAGTCATGTATTGAATTTATTTTCATAAATGGGGTGTCAGTGCAAAATAGACATAAAGTGATCAAATATAAAAAGTCAGAATTATGCTGCCCTGAGCATGACTTAGTTCCGGTTATTCACCTTTGTGAGTCTAATATTAAATTGAAGCTGCTGTTCAGAGCTCTAACTCCTGAATAATGGCCTAGATCCTTGCCAGAATGGAGGTTCCTGTGTGGATGGAGTGAATACTTTCTCCTGCCTCTGCCTTCCGGGCTTCGTCGGGGATAAGTGCGAGACAGACATGAATGAATGTCTGAGTGAACCCTGTAAGAATGGAGGGACCTGCTCTGACTATGTCAACAGTTACACTTGCAAGTGCCAGGTGGGATTTGATGGAGTCCACTGTGAGAACAACATCGATGAGTGCACTGACAGGTGAGACACCCACGTATTCGGGCATCAATGTCTTATGGGAAAAAGGGAGAAAGGGGAGGAAACTTCAGAGCACAATGCTAGGATTGTGGGGCAGGGATGAGGCCTTCACTTGGGTCCTACGCCACAATCATCTCCTATAGCGCAGTTCCTGATTCTTGATAAACATATAGTTAGAAGGTCCACGGTCAGAGGTTGAAAAGCTTAGCGGGATGTATCATCATTTATTTCATGCTTAGGAAACGGAAAGAGCTATAATTCTGTTCTCCCCTTGGTCCATGTTAATTTTAGTTGACAGTAGATCTAAAAATTCCTATTTCTTTGCAGATTTGTTACGAGTCTTTAAGTAATTTCTGAGAGGTTTGTTTCATTTATTTTTATTATATTTTGAACACAGTGAAAAGCTATTTATTTAGCACTTGTCATATAAATTAAGTTGACTTAGGGATAAAATGGAAGATGATACCTGGAAAACCAGAGAAGGACTGGGTAAAACCTTGAAAACTTTACTTTCTCTAGGAATCTGTAGTAAGCTCAGACTTTTAAATACTCCTAAACTTTTTGGTTGTAGAAAAGAAGTTGGCACTCAGGGCTTCTGGTACCCAGTCAGGTTTGAAAGAAAATAGCATTTACTAGATATAGGAGTTTGGCATGCTTAGGGGTATTTACTTTTCAAATAGTAGGTCAAAGGAACCAGATTACATAGCTGATGTTACTCTCCCTGTTTGCTCCTTAGCTCCTGTTTCAATAGTGGCACGTGTGTCGATGGGATTAATTCCTTCTCTTGCTTGTGCCCTGTGGGTTTCACTGGTCCCTTCTGCGTCCACAAGATTGATGAATGCAACTCTCATCCATGCCTGAATGAGGGAACATGTATTGATGGCCTGGGTACCTACCGCTGCATCTGCTCCTTGGGCTATACTGGGAAAAACTGTCAGGTAACTTTCTTTGTATTTCCTCAGTTCTCCTAGAGCAGCTGAGTATTATACCTACTCCCTTTCTAGGCAGGATAAGCCCCTTCTAAAAGAGAAAATTGTGGATATCAGGAGTGTCCCTGAGATAAATCCAAAATGGTGAAACAGGTAATATGAAACACATTAACAAACCAAGAGGCTAACCAAGAACTGCAGAAATATATATATGAAAAATAAGCCCATCGATATTTTTTAAATTGGAAACACAGAAATGGAGAGAATAATGAGTAAAAGAAATTTTAAAGGTCAAATGCAACATCTAAGGAGATAATGATAATAATAATTATCATGTCTTGCAACACCTCAAAACCAAACTGTTTATATATCTTTTAAATTCAAATATATAAATACACATTTTCATAGAATCTTAGGATGGAAAGAGTCCTCCTAGGTGATCTAGGTGACTAGTTCCGTTTAACCTTTTATTTTGTAGAAGAAACTGAGCTCCAGAGGGCAAAGTAACTTTCCCAAGGTTGCATGCCAAACAGCATCGTGTTTAGTTTTATGCTATTTCATCTCTGAACAATGATAAAATAACAGAACTCCAAAAAACTTAGGAATAAATGGCAAAAAATACCATGACATACAGGGTATACTTCACTAAGGCTTTGACTTTATTGGACATGCAAAAAACTTCCTCCACATATTAAGTAGTTGGTTGCTGATTCTGTGTATCCAGAGAGCATAGTTTGTTAGGTTCCTGCTCATTACCACCATGTAGATTGGAAGAACTGTAGAAACATTTTTCCCTTTCTCCACTGTCCCCTTCTTCCAGCAAACAGTTTGCATTGTCAGTGTGGCCTTTTTTCCCAGGGGAACAAGTCACTCTGTGTGAATAAAGAAGGTGAAGGGCTGCCTGGTTAGCTCACTTGGTAGAGTGTGGTGCTGATAACACCAGGGTCAAAGGTTCGGATCCCTGTACTGGCCAGCTGCAAAAAAAAAAAAGATGAAAGGGACCAGTCCTATTTGCCTCACATTTTTCATAAGCCTGATCATCTGCCCTTCAAAATAAGCCTATTTGACAGTTTTAGGTCTATTAACAGGCTTTAAGTCTTTTTACCCACATTCATCACAGATAGATTTGGTCAAGCCCATGTGGATTTCGCACACAGAATCCACACAGGGCGTATGGACCTGTCTGGCAGTTTAACTCTCTTTCCAGCCCCACAAGGTGGTCGTATATGTAGACATAATCATGCCTAGAGCATTGAGAATAATTGAACCTATTGGGTTTCCTTGAATTCTTAAACTTCTGTGGCAAGAACTTTTTAAATAGTAGAGCAAAGAAGAATATTAGTTAGATGTACCTTGAAACATTGAATCTAGTTTAAGGGTTGGGTGAGGGCTTTTTACAAAAGAAAATTAATGTGCTTTCCTTTTCTTATAACATAGCATAACTTATTTTCTTCATTTCTGCCATATGGATTTTGATGTATGTGCATCCCTGCCTCTGTTTTAGACCCTGGTGAACCTCTGCAGTCAGTCTCCATGTAAGAACAAAGGTGCTTGTGTTCAGGAAAAAGCAGAGTCCCGGTGCCTATGTCCACCTGGATGGGCTGGTGCTTACTGTGATGTGCCCAATGTCTCCTGTGAGGTGGCAGCCTCCCGCAGAGGTGAGTTCTGCCCCCTTGGGCTCAAGGTCATCCACTGAAGTATTGACTGACCAGTGGTGTTTAGTGCAGGTGTTGTTACTATGGTATGAGAGGGAAGGGCAGATGGGCAAGGCTCTGGAGAAAGGGCCCAAGACAGAGATGAAAAGGCAGAGAAACATTGCCAAAAAGAAATGTATTTGAAATGAAACTAAGTCATGTTCCACTTTCAGCGCTTGTTATTTCAATACAAATCTGTAGCTAAGGGTTGTGAAAAACTTAAAGAAAAAATTTGATGTGTTGACCAGCTTAGATTCGCTTGCTCATTAGGTGTCTGAACCTGATGTGTGCTCTTCTGTGTTTCCTCTTCTACTGGGTTTCCCAGGTGTGCCTGTTGACCACCTGTGCCTGCATTCAGGCATCTGTATCAGTGCTGGAAACACACATCACTGCCAGTGCCCCCTGGGCTACACCGGTAGCTACTGCGAGGAACAGCTTGATGAGTGCGCGTCCAACCCCTGCCAGCATGGGGCCACTTGCAGCGACTTCATTGGTGGATACAGATGTGAGGTGAGGACAATGAGTGAGCAGACGTCAGAGACCTCACAGGAGATTGTGCAGCTGTTATGAGCACTACTATATTGAATTAAGCTGCTTGTCTTATGTTTACAGTTTATAGATTTTTACCAGTCACCATTATAGTATTTACCAACCACTCTTTCTTCCAGCCAACCTATGCAGTAAGTTAACATGACCCTAGAAAGATATTTTTATAGAGCTCTGGAACCATCCCACCTCCTCAGGCTTGCTTCCGGTATTTGGAGCCAGCAGTCACTACCAGAGTGTATTTCACATGCCCACCCAGCACAGCAGGTCCTGGCATTTCCCTGAATAGGAGGTATTCAGATAGGAGAAGCAGAAGCCGCTTTGAGGAGTGTCCCTTTGGCCCATGTCACCTTTGTATACAGTCATTGACCAGTCAACTGTTATTCTCTCAAAAAAATGTTGCTTAGCCTGTTCCACATAGCAGCATGCTAAGTGTTACATGTGTATATTTGAGGAAGTACGTGTCTTTAAGGGATATGTCACTGTCTTCTTAATGTCTGGGCTGCTAATGGCTAGAGCAAGATGTTAACAAAGCACCGGAATTGTAAATTTGATACCAATTCAGACCACCAAGTAACACTGAGAAAAGTTTTCCTTCTCTGCTGTTATACAAATGAACCAAAGATAGCCTCTATTTTGGCACCTAGGTTAGTTTTTCTTACAGCAAGCTGGGACCCATTAGTTCAAAAGCCTGCCAGCACTAAACTCAAATTTTAACATATCCAATTGTTTTACACAGCCCAAATAAGCTGATTTTTAGCTATTTAGAGCCTGTCTGCTTTGCATATCCTGCAAAACTACACCCAACATCAAGCCATAGATAAACCCGGGGCCCATAAGAACCCCAAGCTGCTGCTACCTTCAGAGCTTTCTGACCCAGAGTGTCGTGCACTGGGCTGCTGAGTGACATCCTCTAGACTCCTAAGCTCCCTTCTGACCCACCTCTCTCGTGGAGTTGCTTGCTCTTCTCCCCTTACCCATCTACACCTCTGGATGGTCTTATGCTATGAGGGACTCCCCCAAAATGCAAACCTGTCCAGATGTCAACCAAGTAAAGCCACCTCATGGTCATATCTTTTTCCTTGATCAGCTCTGAAATCCTCCCACCCCCTACATCAACCACAGCCAGCCTGCCCCACCTCCCTCTGCACCCACTCTTATCTCAACCAGTTTCTCACACATGCATGCAGTTTCCTGAACCTGGAGATCAGTCAAGGCAGTGTCTGCTACCATCCATACTACTGTTTGACTGAGTCCTAGGGTACTCATCACATACAAAGGAATGCATATTTTAAAGATGGGGGAACCTGTTCACAGAGGTACAAATTTTTGCACAGGGATTTCTGAAATATGTCTCAGAATATTCAGTGTTTGCATTCCTTTTAAAGTGGACTTTTCAGCTGGAAGAGAAATAGGTAAATGCCAGTGCACTGCAGATTGACCCTGCACAGGATGATTAGCAGAGGATATGATGATTCCAGAGAAGCATGTAAGAGCTAAGTAGGAGTAGGAGCAGGGCCACAGTAACATTCCACATTTCGCTTGCTTTCCTGGTCTTTTTCCACTAATGTCCCAATATTTCTTGTCCTTTTTGGGGGGTGGGGGTGAATGGGGGGTATTTATTTATTTTTCAGGCATTTAAAAACATTTTTTTTTAATTTAATTTATTTTTTATTGTACCATAGTTGATTATACGTGTCTGTGGTATACAAGGTTGAATATCAATACCTGTGTGCAATATGTGATGCTCAAATCAGGATAATTCAACATTATACAGTGTAATTGTTTTTCATGTCCCTTTACCAATTCCTCTCTTACCCTCCTCCGCCTCTCCCTTTCCCACCACTGGTAACCTCAGTTTTGTTCTCTCCTTTTGAAAGTTCACTGTATTATTGTGATTGTTGTATCTGCCTACCTTTCTTTTTATTTATTTTTTTATTTTTCAGCTCCCACATATGAGTGAAGACGTAGTATTTCTCTCTCTGTACCTGGCTTATTTCACTTAACGTAATTTTCTCTAAGTTCATGAATGTTGCTGCGAATGGCAGAATTTCATTCTTTTTATGGCAGAGTAGTATTCCATTGTGTATATGTGCCACATTTTCCTTATCCAGTCATCCGATGATGGACGTTTAGGTTGGTTCCAATTCTTGGCTGTTGTAAATAGAACTGCGATAAACATGGGAGTGCAGGTATCCCTTTGACATGATGATTTCCATTCTTTTGGGTATATGCCCAGCAGTGGAATTGCTGGATCGTATGGCAGTTCTATCTGTAGTTGTTTGAGGAACCTCCACACTGTTTTCTATAGTGGTTGTACTAATTTACCATCCCACCAACAGTGTAGGAGGGTCCCCCTTTCTCCGTATCCTCACCAGCATTTGTTATTCTCTGCCTTTTTGATAATAGCCTAACTGAGGTGAAATGATATCTCAATGTGGTTTTGATTTTCTTGTTTTTGCTTCTTCCTGCCAGTGTGTCCCAGGATATCAAGGTGTCAACTGTGAGTATGAAGTGGATGAGTGCCAGAATCAGCCATGCCAGAATGGAGGCACTTGTATCGACCTTGTGAACCATTTCAAGTGCTCCTGCCCACCAGGAACTCGGGGTATGAAATCAGCCTTACCCATCCTCCAGAATACTGGGGTACTTTTTCCATATGGTTACTGATTTGTCCTTACACAATGTGCTGAATATTTGATCTTTTATACGGTGTTTTGAAATAGCTCCTTTATCAAATTCTAAATTCCCATGTACATTTGGATGTTTTTGTGGACTTTCTTTTTTATTCTATCGTTCCATTAATTCATCACTAATACTCTGTCTTAATTACTAAGGACCTTCTCCTTCATGATTTTCCTGGCTATGGTTATAGTTTGTTTTTCCATATAATTTTAGACTTAGCTTGTCTATTAAAAAAACTTGTTGGTATTTCTTTTTGGGGTTTCATTAAATTTATGAATTAGTATAGAGAAAACTGACATCTTTATGATGAGTAGACTTCCTAACCAAATTATGATATGTCTTTCCATTTATTCAAATCTCATTTTGTGTCTCAGGACAATTTTAAAGTTGTCTTTATATTGGGTAGCACATTTCTTGTTAAAATTATTCCTAGGTGTTTTTTACCTTTTGCAATTGCTATTGAAAAATGGGGCCTTATTTTACATTTCTTTCTTTTTCTTTTTCATAGTGTTACTTTTATTAGTGTATACTGCAAGTGCAAGTGGCATGAATACAGAACTGTTTTTTTTGTAACTTTTTGAATTGATTATAGAGTAGTTTTTAGAATAGTCATTGATTTCTTTTGTTTCTTTCTAAAAAATAGATAAAATGTTTACAGATATTCATACTAGGTGGCTCATTTACATCTATAGTACATAAGTGGGGTTCCGTTTTAAGTGGAATAACCTTTGAACTCTCAGCAGGATATATTTTCCCTTTTTAAAAAAAAATTTAAAAAACACTAGTGCACTTATACTATTTTATAGAAAAAAAAGTCAATGACCATACAATTTAAAAATATATATCACTCAAAATTTAGTTTAATTTATACCAATATTTTTATATAGATGTAATCCATGTATTTACTTGGTTATATTCTTTTTTGAGCTGTTTTTATATTTTGAATTAAAATGAATAAATTAATGAAAAATTGTTGAGCTCCAGTTTTTTGTCTTTGAGATGGGACAAATAATAAAACTTCTACCATAGGGATGACTGCATTGGTTGTGTGGGAGAATACATGTTGAAGTCTGAGCACATTCTTTCCTCCTCTCACACTGCTCACCGGGATGGCAGCTGTCATGGATCAGGAGTGTGCTTTGCCCTGCCTGACTTAAAAGGTCCCACTGCAGATTGATGAGTGTGGTGTGATTAATTGTGAAAGTGCCAGCAAGTGGTTATCCCTCACTGGAAAGCAGTGTTCAAAGGATTTTCATAACTGTATCTCTCCTCTTTCCTCCAGGCCTACTTTGTGAAGAGAACATTGATGACTGTGCCAGGGGTCCCCGTTGCCTTAATGGTGGTCAGTGTGTGGATAGGATTGGGGGCTACACTTGTCGCTGCTTGCCTGGCTTTGCTGGGGAGCGGTGTGAGGGGGACATCAATGAGTGCCTCTCCAACCCCTGCAGCTCTGAGGGCAGCCTGGACTGCATACAGCTTACCAACGACTACCTGTGTGTCTGCCGCAGTGCCTTCACTGGTAAGAACCCCTCCAGCCTCCTGGCCACTTCACCTTGGAGCAGGCTTTCAGTGAGCAAATCCGCCCTGTATGACTTGTCCCAGTCCTGAGTGAAGCTTTTCTGATATATGAAAAACAAGACCAGCTTAATTTAAGGGCCCAGTTTTTTCCTAGGTCTGTGCTCCATAGATGTCATAATCAATCTTTTATTTTTCCTGAGAGGCTCTTTTTCTTTTCTTACATACTGATTATATCAAGCTATCACAGGAATATATTTTATATATATATATATATATATTTTTTTTTTTTCAACTAGTATGGTGGGAGTAGTTGAGCAAAATAACATTTTTTAATTGTGGTCAAATACACAAAACCTCAAATTTACCAGATTAACTATTTTTAAATGTACAGTTTAATGGCATTAAGTAGATTCATGTTGTCATGCTACCATCACTACCATCCATCCAACAGAACAAGTAAAATAACATTTTCTTTCTAGGAACCTTAAATCTAACTCTGGTTTCTCCCTGCCTCCTTTGACATGTAATGCCTTGAGTTGCTGGGTAGTTCCTGTCACTGAGATCTTTCCACCCCTCGGACCCAGAGATGCTTAGGACCTGCTAGGACCCTTAACGTGCAAATTGGGGTATATTTAACCAAAAATCAGTTTATGAGGGTATGAACTGAAAAGCTGCAGTAGTCTCAAGTGTAAGGCTTGGCTGTGCTCGTAGTCTTACCTCAAGCTTCTTTTTCCATCACAGGCATAAAGATTATCAAACCCTGCCTCAAGATACAGGCTTTATCATAAGCACTTATTAGTCATTTCTGGAGAAGGGGAGCATGGTGACTTTTTGGGACTAAAATGGTTGCTTGTATCTAGATATGGCAGGATAATCAGATAACTCAGATTTGAATCTGTCTTGCATTTTCTAGGGTTGGTAGTTGTATTTCTTACACTGAGGGTGTAATCGGGTTCTGTGGGAGTCAGGTAATAGGCTGCAGTAGTCTATTTACTAAAAATTTGTCAAGCTGGACTTTGCTACATCCTGAGCACATCTCTAGCCTTCCTTCCTTCCAATTTTAAAGATGTGTTACCTTTAGGAATCTTGGAATTTTATAAAGAATGGGAGAGGTTTTGTAATATGGAGGTGCCTGGATGTCATAATAGCAAAAGAGAAACAATCCACTATGAATGTCATATCTGTTGAGGAAATGTGGGACAGAAAGAGTATGAACAATCTCTACAGCCTCATATTGGCCACAACGTGCTTGGGTAGCCAGAGAAGCAAAGATTGCTCCTGTCTTTTATTGACTCTAGGGCTTCCTTTCTCTGGAAGCACTGACTACCACTTACAAAGTAAGGGGAAACAGGAGAAGGAAGGAATGGGGACTACCTTGAATTAGAATCCCATAGCCAGGTAGTAGTGTTCACACATTTTCCAGACTTGTGAATGAAAGCAATCCCTCGAACACATTGATTGCAATTATTGTGGGATGCTGTTGCTGAGACAGACAGGGAGGGACTGTTGTTTACTGAACCATGTCCCTGTGATGGCTGCTCTTGGTTAGTGGCTGCTGTTGTGTTTGAAGAGACAAGCATTTGTAACTCTTGCTGTTTAATTCTCGTCAGCCAAAGATATTACTATTTTTATTTCTTTTTTAAAGTCACTTCTTCCCTTTTAAGTGACTGCAGGCCAGATAGGGTCCATCTCCTGCTGTTGGCCACAAGCCTCTGCTGTGCCTTGTGTCTCCTCTGTGATTCCAGGTGCCTGCTTCTTTATTATGGTGCAGTGGCCTACAGATGCCTTCTGTGTTAGAAGTGTTTCTAGGGTAAATTAATTCTGGGAAAATTAAGCTGCATTTTAAAGCAATCCCCATCAGGTAACAAAAAGGTCAAAAAATGATTGAAAAGAGATAGCATGGATGAAAATTTTCCATAAACTGCAAATCGTCATTTAGATATATTGCCCTGGTGTAGCATCTCCTATGAAGAACATGATGTTGACAAAATGCGGTGAATGGTCCTTCAACTTATGAAAGCTGCAGTGCCTTCAAAAAGCTGAGGCGTGATTTTCCTTTTCTTTTTGGATGGGATTCGAGTCACTTTTTGAGTTCATTCTGTTTTGTGAGTCGGTTTGGGGATGTGTGCCACATGTGCTTACTGTGTAAGCAAGACAGAGAGGGGGCTGGTCTCAGCTGGTGGTGGGTTTCCTTGTCTTCTTGTCTTCTTGTTGGCAGAGAGCTGCACTCTCATTACCTATTGCTCTGTGGCTAGCTCCCATCCTAGTGGGGCTCTGTTTAGTGACTTGCAGTTCCTACTTCTGCCTTTTAAAGCCCCCTTTTATTTTCTGTCTTGAGGCCGTCACTGTGAAACCTTCATGGATGTGTGTCCCCAGATGCCTTGCCTGAATGGAGGGACTTGTGCTGTGGCCCGCAACATGCCTGATGGCTTCATTTGTCATTGTGCCCCGGTAGGTGCCCTGTTGCCGATTTAAGGGGCATACTCTCTTCCATACAATCTGTGACAAAACTCAGATTAAACCTGATTTTTTTCAAGCTCAGCAATGGAGAGATTTCTTGATTTTAGCTCCTATAGAAGCAAGCACTTGAGTTTTTTCACTTACAGCTGTTTAGACACTCCAGAAACAGTTAGCTTTGCAATCGATGACTATCAATCTTCAGAAGCACCAAGAGAAAAGCACAGGAAGTGGTGGACTGTTCCCTTGTGAATAAGGCTAGTGTTGCTGGCTTATTGGTACCATGCTGGAGGGCAGTCTCAATGCTCAGGTTGGGCTAGGGTTAGTGGAAACACTATTCTACTTATATTCTTTAGCAGGGACCATTTGGGAGCAAGTTGCTTTTTAAATTAAAAGGAAGCTGAATTTTAGCCATTCTCCATGCAAACTCTTATGCCACTACCAGAGGCCCAAACCTCCCTAAAACACACTATGTGTGGGGAGATACCAAAAGGAAACCTGTCCAGTAACCTTGGTTTGGGCAAAGCAGGATGTACAAGAATAAAATAAGATGTGGAAGTTTTCTAGAGACCCAAAACTCTCAATATGACTTTTCTCCCCCTAAAGCCATTATGTGAATCATCTGGTGGTTAGAGAAGGTACCTACAGAAACAATGCCACCAGACTCTTACCCCACCATGACTTGTGGACTTAATTTCTAGAAGTGAGCTATTAAAGTGAGAGAACTCTAGGGCTGGCCTGTGGCTCACTCAGGAGAGTGCGGTGCTGATAACACCAAGGCCCTGGGTTCGGATCCCATATAGGGATGGCCGGTTCGCTCACTGGCTGAGCGTGGTGCTAACAACACCAAGTCAAGGGTTAAGATCCCCTTACCAGTCATCTTTAAAAAAAAAAAAATAAATAAATAAATAAATAAAGTGAGAGAACTCTACATTCATCCTGTGGAACTTCAGCTCTGACCTATAGGTTTAATTAAAGAAGTCTCTTTCTTAAACTTGGCCTAGGAGGTTACTTGTATTAGAGGGATCTTAACCAAGTATTTAGTCTTTATCTCCCTAGAGGTGTGGAAGAGAGGGTTTGGGAGGGAAACTGGGGCAAGGCCTCAAGAATCTACCTGCCATTCTAATTTCTTCTCTCATTTCCACAGGGATTCTCTGGGGCAAGATGCCAGAGCAGCTGTGGACAAGTGAAATGTAGGAGAGGGGAGCAGTGTGTGCACACTGCCTCAGGACCCCGCTGCTTCTGCGCCAACCCCCCAGACTGTGAATCAGGCTGTGCCAGTAGCCCTTGCCAGCACGGGGGTAGCTGCTACCCTCAGCGCCAGCCTCCTTACTACTCTTGCCAGTGTGCTCCACTGTTTTGGGGCAGCCACTGTGAACACTACACAGCCCCCACCAGCACCACCCCTGCCACCTGCCTGAGCCAGTACTGTGCTGACAAAGCTCGCGATGGTGTCTGTGATGAGGCCTGCAATAGCCATGCCTGCCAGTGGGATGGGGGTGACTGCTCCCTCACCATGGAGGACCCGTGGGCCAACTGCTCCTCCCCACTTCCCTGCTGGGATTACATCAACAACCAGTGTGATGAGCTGTGCAACACGGCTGAATGCCTGTTTGACAACTTCGAGTGCCAAGATAATAGCAAGACATGCAAGTAAGGGCTCCAGGATCTCCAGAGCCAAGGGGGACTGTCACTAACACACCTTGGTTTCTGTTCTTGCTCCTAACCACTCCAGTGCTTCTGCTCTAGCTGCCTCTGCTTTCCAGATGATGCCAGCCTTGTTCCATCGCACACTACCCTGTGCTCTCCTTTGCTGACAGATGGCCAGGAATGCTCACTGCATAATCACCCTCTCTCTCTCTGCTTATCTGCCTTCTCACCTGCTGCTCTTGTGACCTGCTGGGGGAAATAACTTTTGGAAGTGGTGTTACCCACTCTCAGGCAGCCTCTCACATAACCTGCCTGCAGGATGGATGGAAAGGTCTGTACTTCTCTCTCTTCACTCCATTCCTTTCCCTAAGACTGGCTTTCCCCATCTAGATTGATCAGGAAGCAAGAACTAGAGTAGGCCTCTTAACCACCCCCCCACCCCCGGTCTGCTAGTTTACATAGTAACTTTCCTATTAGCCATTTCATCTAGCTCCAGTTGATTCTCAACAACCTTGTGAGGTGTAGGTATTGTTATAGAAGAGGGAACTGAGGCCTGGGAAGTTAAAGAACTTGCCAAAGTATATACAGCTATTCCTGACTCCTAACCTTTTCACTGAGCTAACGTGGCAAGTTGTACCAAGTAGTGTAACTATCTAGGGGTGGGGAGTGGGGTGTGGGAGCTGGAGGAGAGTATAGGTGAAATGGTTTATATATCACTTAGGTTTGGGGGTTCTAATTCCTTTTCCTAGTATTTGAAAGAGGCTGTACAAGTTAGATCTGGTATCCTGTATGAAAGAAATGCCTCTGCCTTACCTTCTGTAGTTTGGATTCAGTTTGGAAAGAGAAAGAAATGGACCATATTGACATGGTTCTCTGTGTAGAGCAACTCTTGATGGTTCAGAGCTATTTATCCAGTTTCTGAAGGCACCTTCTAGAAGCACCTTTTTCTTCCTAAAGCCCATTGTTACTTTATCGGCAGCAGTGGATACAAAGTACGGGAAGCCTGAACCAGGTTGACTTTTGTTTCAGATATGCAGCTTTGTGTAAAAATCTGACTTAACAAGATTGTGAGCTGCCTGGGAGCCCCTAAGCCCATGCAGCACAGTGAGCATAGTGTTGTTCCTCATTCAGGGAGCACTGAAGAGTGATGAGTGACCTAGACTGTATGTTCTCTATGATGTTGGGGATAGCAGATTCAAAGAAGGCTTCATGGGGCAGTTGGTCCTGATGTGCACTACAAAAGATAGGTAGGAAAATCCATGATAGTTCCAAATGGAAAACTGAATAAAGCTCCTGTCTAGTCTGAGCTCCTTTCCTTTTCTCTCTCCTGCCTCCCCCTGCCTAGGTATGACAGATACTGTGCAGACCACTTCAAAGACAACCACTGTGACCAGGGATGCAACAGTGAGGAGTGTGGCTGGGATGGGCTGGACTGTGCTGCTGACCAGCCCGAGAACCTGGCAGAGGGTACCCTGGTTATTGTGGTGTTGATGCCACCTGAACAACTGCTTGAGGATGCTCGCAGCTTCTTGAGGGCACTGGGCACGCTGCTCCACACCAACCTGAATATTAAACGAGACTCCCAGGGGAAACCTATGGTATACCCCTATTATGGTGAGAAGTCAGCTGCTGTGAAAAAGCAGAGGATGACCCGCAGGTCCCTTCCTGATGAACAAGAACGGGAAGTAGTTGGGTAGGTTTTTGATTTCTGAACTTTTTACAGGCTAATTTTTAAAATCTGAACATTTTGATACACAGCAGAAGTTATAACTCAACCTATAAAAATGCAAAGATCAGACAAAGAGAATGGCCCACTTTTAAGACAAACCCATTTTCCCGGTACTTATGTTTAAGAGTAAAGATTTGCTTTGATCTTGGGGTCCTGAAAGGTGGGCTGGAGCAAGCAGGAGGCAGGAGTCGGATGGCCTCCTCAAATGCCAGAAACCCCAACCTTTTGGCAGCGTTGCCTCTGATCCCTTTATTAGTGACTCCCCTTTTGTATTAATCATTGCCTTTCTTCAAGTCCCTTTGTCTATAATACAAGTCTCTTTGACAAGGCAAATAATCCTCAGTTGTTCTGTCATTCACATCTCATTATCTCTTGACATATCCCCCAATTTTTAACCCTTCAGCTAGCTGAAATTCAGATGCAGAGACAAAGGAGAATAAGGACCCAAAGTGTGCAGGGGTGTAATTTTAGAGAAACCCTAAGTACCACTGAGTAGACAGGAAAGGGTGGAAGAAGACCACCAAAACCTTCAGGAGGAGAGCACTGAGACCAGCTTTCCCAGTCTTCTCACTTTGCTGTGTGTTGCCTTAGTCAGAAGGCTTAGAGCAGCCAGACTAAGGAAGGCGAGGTACCCCCTAAGTGGGAATTAGTGTTTAGGGTCTGAAGGGACAGTATTCTAATTGCAGAGATCTTTCTGAAGGCAGTGTCCCAGAGGTGGAGAACCTGATGCTGAAGAGGGAGGAAGGAAGGTTCCTGCCCCGCTTTCTGACTCAGCTTGCTTGACCTGCACCCTTCTGTTTTACTCATCATTTCCCTTCCTCCTCTTCTCCCTTGGCATCTCACAGCTCTAAGGTATTTCTGGAAATTGACAACCGTCAGTGTGTTCAAGACTCAGACCAATGCTTCAAGAACACGGATGCAGCAGCAGCTCTCCTGGCTTCTCACGCCATCCAGGGGACCCTGTCCTACCCTCTTGTGTCTGTCGTCAGTGAGTGGCACTGGTGTTAAAGGGAAAGGGTGCGGGGAAAGGCATCACTTAGGGGCATTCTTTTCAATGTGCAGCCCTCTATTTTTTAGGGCTGCTGAGGTCAAAGTTGCCCTCTAAATGAACTCATTGCTAATAATGAGAGGTTGATGTGTTATTCAGAGCTTTTCCTGTCTCTCTGGACTTTCAGGTGAATCCCTGTCTCCAAAACCCACTCAGCTCCTCTACCTACTTGCTGTTGCTGTTGTCATCATTCTGTTTATCATCCTGCTGGGGGTAATCATGGCTAAACGAAAGCGTAAGCATGGCTCCCTCTGGCTGCCTGAAGGTTTCACCCTTCGCCGAGACTCCAGCAATCACAAGCGTCGTGAGCCGGTGGGACAGGATGCCGTGGGGCTGAAGTAAGAGGGTTTGCCAGTGAGCCACTATTCACAGTAATAAGCAGGGATGAAAAGAAAAGTACATCTTGCTGAGTCACAATTTTAAAATCTAAGCTCTGACCATTTAATCATGCTGATTGTGGTTTTGAATGCCTCATGAATGACTGAAACCATAGTCAGAGTCTGGATGCATCTCTTCCTTACACATTATCACAGTGGTGCTCAGCTTCTGTGATGAGGCACACTTTTGTCCTAAGCTCTTGTTCAGTGGGAAGGGAAAGGATGAATGCTCAGGAAATGTCACATAAAATACTGCCCATCCTCTTTGGGCCAAGGCCCCCAAAAGTTGCAGTATAGCTATGGGAGTATGCCGTGGTGGAAAAAATGTTGAAAACCACTATATTAGTTATGACATAACCTCTGCTCTTTTTTCCCCCTTTGTAACCATATCAGAAATCTCTCAGTGCAAGTCTCAGAGGCTAACCTTATTGGTTCTGGAACAAGCGAACATTGGATCGATGATGAAGGGCCTCAGCCAAAGAAAGCCAAGGTAAGGTGGCCATGGTGAGACCACCTTTGTCAGCCTTTATCTGGTCACATTTCAGGTTTCCATCCTTTGGTTTCAGAGTGTCCTGAATGGGAGGAAAGGGTGATAGTCTTTATATGTTGCCCACACAGTGGGTATCCTGGGTTCTCATGAACAGCTGGAATCCTTCGGTCATTGATTGCCTTGAGTTACCTATGTATGTTTTTCAAGAAGGACTCTTTAAAAATATTAAAACAGACATGCCTCCTTCCTCTAATGTCATGCTGTTGGTAGACAAGTTAGGACTGCTGTGTGTAAATAGCAGTTTCCTTCATGACTAGATCCTTCCCTTATCCTCTATGGGCACTTCTCCTTCTGTAAGAGAATTAAACAGTGGAAGAAAGCCAGTGACCACTGACTTTGGAGGCTCTGCATCTTGAGCCCAGGAAACTAAGACCATACAGGAGCAAGAGGTAGATGGGGTGTGAAAGAAGAAACTGGCTGGGAGCCAGTATAGCATGATGGTTGAGAACATTGCTTTAGTTACAATTTGAACTGGATTCAAGTTCAAAACTCTACTACTTAGTTGGAGGCAAGGTACTTAACTTCTTTGTATTTAATTATCTTTTTCTTTAAAATGGAGATTAATCCTTACAACTCAGAAAGGAAAGATTTAATACTCCAGTTGGTATAATGTGCCTTACTTATTTCTTGTGATATAGGTATTTGATAAAGGGTAACTGATTCAAACTTATTATCATTCAACAATCGGTCCTGAGTGCTTGCTGTATGCTGGGTACTGCTTTAAGTACAGGGAGACAACCTTGAACAAATCTTATTCCTTGTTTTCAATAACCTTCCAGTCTAATGATAAAGACTGCCATGTGGTGCCATGTAAGTACTTAACACATGGTCAGTTAAGTAGAGTTAAGCAGAATATGCTTTTTGAGACCAACAAGAGAAATCAAAGTCTTGTTATATGTAGAGAGTAGGAAGGAGTTAGTTAAAGAATTGGGGGAGACCATTGCAGGCAGAGAAAACAGCATGGGCAAAGGCCTAGAAGCAGTAATATGGTGCTTTAGGGATCTAGAATTAGCATGTTAAGGCTAACGCCTAAAGTTTGGGATTAGGAGGTGGGGAGAATTGTCCAGATGATGCAGTAAGGTAAGCAGGAACCACATCCCAAAAGCAGTAGGAAGCTGATGTGGATGATCATCTGGAAGAGAGAAAACTGGATGGGCAATGAGGAAAGGTGGTGGGAAACACTGGACCAGCTCCTCGTCAGCAGTCTCTGGTGGTGGGTCACATTGAGAGGGAGCATCGTTTCCCCTTCAGGCTGAAGATGAGGCTTTGCTCTCAGAAGGAGATGACCCCATTGATAGACGCCCATGGACACAACAGCACCTTGAAGCTGCAGACATCCGTAGGACACCATCACTGGCTCTCACTCCTCCTCGGGCAGAGCAGGAGGTGGATGTGCTGGACGTCAACGTCCGGGGCCCAGGTGAGCACTGGCAACCCCCGCACTTCACTAGGAAGTGCCTGCCCTTGGTTCTACATTGCTGTCCCTGCGTTTGCTCCACCTGGCCATATGCCTCCTGCCAATTTTACAGACTGTAACTCAGCTGGAGGAAATGAATTCTTAAGGAATACAGGCATACAGAAGAAAGGAAGGGATTTCACATTGTTTTATATATGGCATGTTGAGAACAAACAGGCTGATTAAATGGGTTTGGTAGATTTTGACTTTAGTTGAATAGAAAAATAATATCCCAAAGCAGAGGATAGAGGATTAGTTTAGTCAATATCTTATGCACATAGTTCTATTAATATTGGATATTTTAAAATTTGTCTAATTTAAAATAATGTAGCACTTCAACAGAAAAACTTGTTTAACTTAGAGAAGAACCCCCAACTTTAAAAGACTCTTATTTTCTTATTACCTTTACAGAAATGATATTATCAGAAGAAAAGTAGGTGGCAAATGTAAAACTAATTGCTAGTTACCACAGGAAACACAGGGAATTCTTTTCCCATAAGAATAACTTCACTCAAATAGAACTATTCTAACAACAGGGTTAACTTCCTTCTCCTCCTTGAATACTTTTGGAATTTTCCTTTCCCACAGATGGGTGCACCCCACTGATGTTGGCTTCTCTCCGAGGAGGCAGCTCAGATGTGAGTGATGAAGATGAAGATGCAGAGGACTCTTCTGCCAACATCATCACAGACTTAGTCTACCAGGGTGCCAGCCTGCAGGCTCAGACAGACCGGACTGGTGAGATGGCCCTACACCTCGCAGCCCGCTACTCGAGGGCGGATGCAGCCAAACGCCTCCTGGATGCAGGTGCAGATGCCAATGCTCAGGACAACATGGGCCGCTGCCCTCTCCATGCTGCAGTGGCAGCTGATGCCCAAGGTGTCTTCCAGGTAAAGAACGTGAGAAGGGTCAGTTTAAATAATAAGAGTTCCTTATGGGTCTAAGATGGTATCTCTGTTGCAGCACTTAATATCTCATTGAATTTATTCAGTAATTCTTTGAGAGATTAGGGCAGGAGTTAGAGTCATGCTTGCTAAATGGGAAAGCAAGAAAAGGCAGGTTGGGAAACTGACCTAGCTATATACAGCCACATAGTGATAGCCAGCAGCAAGTAACACCAGTCTTCTGATTCTTAGTCAGTGATATATATATATATTTTTTAAATTTTATTTTATCATTACACAATGTAAGCATTTTTTGTGGCCCTTTACTAATTTTTCCCTAAACCCCCTTGTTCCTCCCCCTTTCCCACCTCTGTGATATTATCATGTGCCAAGATGCTTCCCAAATGCATAGATCAGATGGGAGTGATACCTGTGTCAAAGCCTTTGACTAGTATCAGCTGTTTCCTGTGGTTTTGCTTGGATATGTGGGCTTCCAGATGCTCTCTGACAGTTTTCTTGACATGAGTTCACTGTATACTCCTCGATGCTTTTTCCTTTTAGTCTATGAGGAAATTTGAAGCATTCTGAATTACCTTAGACTGTACACTGTGATTGAAGTTGCAGTATTTCCCCACATCCCTCTTCTTTCCTAAGAAAGTATAAGCACATCATTTTATATGGACCATTATGTCTTGAGCACCCATTTGTTGGTTTATTTATTGGTTCATTCAACAATTCTTTACTGATTGACCATGACAGAATTAGGGGCATAAAGATAAACAAGACTTTCCTTGCCCTCCAGGAACTTACAATATAGCCTCAGCCCTGGTGCTCTTCTTTTAGTTTCATTGTTTTCCTTCATGCAAGTGACTCTCTTTTCTGTTCTTTCTCCTCTTCCAGATTCTGATCCGTAACCGAGTAACTGATCTAGATGCCAGGATGAATGATGGTACCACTCCCCTGATCCTGGCTGCCCGCCTGGCTGTGGAGGGCATGGTGGCAGAGCTGATCAACTGCCAAGCAGATGTGAATGCAGTGGATGACCATGGTAGGGATGAGGGGCAGGGGGCCGGATTCGGAGGAGAATTGTACACGATCCTTACAGAATTTTCTGAGATCTGAATCCCTTGGAGAGTCACTCATTCTTTCACTCATGCATTCATTCATTCTTCCTTCAACATGTTGATTTCAGAGAACTGAGTCAGTGGGAGGTCCCTAGATTAAGACAAGAAGAGATTTTTCATGAGGGTTCTTGGACCTCAAAGCAGGTCCATGATAGGTTTGCCTGTGCAGGTTCCCAGGCATACCACTTTTGATATGAGAATTTATGAGAGCTGACTTCACTAGGAGGATTGTGGAATATCCTAAGTATACATTTTGGCATGTAATAAATAGGTTGTTGTCTTTAGTTTGTGATAGGGTAGGTTCTTCCATGCAGAGGATATGGATATCACATATAAGTGACCCTTTTACCAAGAGGTCTTCTGGGCAGCCTGTGCTGAAATATGCCTAGAACAGAGGAAAAGAAGATGTTATTTTGGTTTTTCCTATAGGCCCCCACAGAGAACTGGCTTCCTAGTGATCACTGGGGAGGGAGTTCAAGGTTTCCTTGTGCAAGCTGTGGTACTTGCTTATACTAGGAGTAGGACATGTCTTTCTACTCTGTTTGCTTATAAAATATTATTAAAATGTTTTTCCCCTGCAGGAAAATCTGCTCTTCACTGGGCAGCTGCTGTCAATAATGTGGAGGCGACTCTTCTGCTATTGAAAAATGGGGCCAACCGAGACATGCAGGACAACAAGGTATGATCATGGGCTCTGAGCCTGAGGATGCTTGCAGCAGTGCCTCAGTTAAATGGCCCTTCCCATTTCTCCTTATAGCTTCTCTTGTGATAAACACAAAGATGGAAGCAGGTTGAGCAAGAACTGGATCCAGAGAGCTTGATGAAGGATGTGGCTTATCTACAAGAGTCTCAGGATTGAGTCCTCTGCCCACTCAGTGCTCAGCTTGTGCCTGGCTATGCCGTAAATAACGTGGTGTAGCCTTCTCTGCCTTTACTCTTTTTTGATGTTTCCCTTTCTCTTGTTCTCTCTTTTGTTCATGCTCACTTCCTTTTCTCATTTGTTTTCTTTCTCCCCCCGCCCCCCACTGCTCTTCTTTTTTTCTGTCCTTAGATACCATGATGTTTTCCTGTTTGGTTTTCTCCTTCTGAGTTTTTCATCTTGTTTTTCCCTTCTTTTGTTCATTTTCTCTCATTTACTTCCTCTTTTCCCTTATTGTAGCTCTTTCTTACACGTTTTGTCTCTTCTTTCTTATACTCTTTCTCTTATTTTACCCAGTTCTGTGCGTGCTCTAGTTTTTTCTCCGCCTACCTTTCTGATTTCTAATTCTTTTTCCTCCTAGAACCCTATTTTGACAAGCTAAGCTCAGTATTCTGTTAAGTGAGTCTCTGGCTCAGAGACATGCTTTATTTCACAAGTTTTCAATTGAGGAGATCTTGCCCCTCAGAGGCAAAACTGATTCTTGGGGAGAGGTGAAATAATCTTGCTCTTTTTATGTATAAGTCAAAGATATACATTCAGTACTAGGTAGATATATAGCATGTCTGTGGTATTAAAATTTTATGGGGAAACAAAATATGTGTAAGGGGGCGATGATAAAAAAAAAATTGAGAAACTGTGGTATTCTCAAGAGTGTTATTAAAATGTATTCTGTGTGGGCATTTTCTGTAGGAAGAGACACCTCTGTTTCTTGCTGCCCGGGAGGGGAGCTACGAAGCAGCCAAGATCCTGTTAGACCATTTTGCCAATCGAGACATCACGGACCACATGGATCGTCTTCCCCGGGATGTGGCTCGGGATCGCATGCACCACGACATTGTGCGCCTCCTGGATGAGTACAACGTGACACCAAGCCCTCCAGGCAGTGTGCTGACATCTGCTCTCTCACCTGTCATCTGTGGGCCCAACAGGTCTTTCCTCAGTTTGAAGCACACCCCAATCGGCAAGAAGCCTAGACGGCCCAATGCCAAGAGCACCGTGCCCACTAGCCTCCCTAACCTTGCCAAGGAGACCAAGGATGCGAAGGGTGGTAGGAGGAAGAAGTCTCTGAGCGAGAAGGTCCAGCTGTCTGAGAGCTCAGTGACTTTATCCCCTGTTGATTCTCTAGAGTCTCCTCACACATATGTTTCTGACACCACATCCTCTCCAATGATCACATCCCCTGGAATCTTGCAGGCCTCCCCCAACCCTCTGTTGGCCACTGCTGCCCCCACTGCCCCAGTCCATGCACAGCATGCACTGTCTTTCTCTAACCTTCATGAAATGCAGCCTTTGGCTCATGGGGCCAGCACTGTGCTTCCCTCTGTGAGCCAGCTGCTGTCTCACCACCACATTGTCCCCCCAGGCAGTGGCAGTGCGGGGAGCTTGGGTAGGCTCCATCCAGTCACAGTCCCAGCAGATTGGATGAACCGCATAGAGATGAATGAGACCCAGTACAATGAGATGTTTGGTATGGTCCTGGCTCCAGCTGAGGGCACCCACCCTGGCATAGCTCCCCAGAGCAGGCCACCTGAAGGGAAGCATGCAGCCACCGCACGGGAACCCTTGCCCCCCATTGTGACATTCCAGCTCATCCCTAAAGGCAGTGTTGCCCAACCAACTGGGGCTCCCCAGCCTCAGTCCAACTGCCCTCCAGCTGTTGCAGGGCCCCTGCCCACTATGTACCAGATTCCAGAAATGGCCCGCTTGCCCAGTGTGGCTTTCCCCACTGCAGTGATGCCCCAGCAGGATGGGCAGGGAGCTCAGACCCTTCTCCCAGCCTATCATCCTTTCCCAGCCTCAGTGGGCAAGTATCCCACACCCCCTTCACAGCATAGTTATGCTTCCTCAAATGCTGCTGAGCGAACCCCCAGTCACAGTGGTCACCTCCAGGGAGAGCATCCCTACCTGACACCATCCCCAGAGTCTCCTGACCAGTGGTCAAGTTCATCACCCCACTCTGCTTCCGACTGGTCAGATGTGACCACCAGCCCTACCCCTGGGGGTGCTGGAGGAGGTCAGCGGGGGCCTGGGACTCACATGGCTGAGCCACCACACAGCAACATGCAGGTGTATGCGTGAAAGTGTCTGCCCCCAGTGCAGGGGCAGAACTGACTATTGTAAATGCTGCTGAAGAACAAATGAAGGTCATCCGGGAGAGAAATGAAGAAATCTCTGAAACAAGCTCTTGGAGGCAGGAGAGAGAAGATGCTCTTATCTTTCAGATAATGTAAGAGAAGAAGTTCATCAGCTTCACTGGGTATCTGCAGGGTTTTTCTTGGGGGGACATGGTTCCTTCAAATCTCTTGCCCATCAAGCCAAGTTCATGGAAATACAAGATGAATACAAGCCTTGGGGCCATGTTTACTCTCTTCTACTTGGAGAAGATGAATGCCCATTGTAGCCCAGACATTCTTGCAGCTTGGACTACATTTTAAGCCCTGGGGGCTTCTGCCATATCCATGAGAAGATTCTACACTAGAATCTTTTTGGTAATTATGCCCTGGAATTCTGCCTGAGATGAAGTATCTTATCTTCTCATCCTTGGAAATTCTTTTGACTTCATTTGATGCTTTTATTTTTGTACCTCTCTGTGGTTGTAGCCCCACCAACATGTTATAGGGCAAGACCTTTGGAGTTTTAATTATTCCTGCCCTGGAAAGCAACTTCAGCCTCCTTTTTCCCTCCTATTTTCTCAGCATCCCTAGGAGTCTCAAAGGGTTTACTTTGGTTATGGTTCTCAGCATAAACCTTTCAAGTATTTTTCTTGAGAAAGTGGACATTTTGCATTCATATATATATATATTATTCCTAGAAAGAGAAGGGGAGCAAAATATTTTTTTGGAGCCACTTTTGGGCAGGGACAGGATTGCCCTTCAAGAGGCTGCACCTTAATTCTCTTGCCTTCGTGCAGGGCTTCATATAAACCTTACCAAGAAGAAAGATACATGTCAAATTTTTTCTATTTATGGGCTTAGTGTGAAGTTTTATCCTTGGCAGCCTAGGTACTATGACCCTCCCCTCTTTTTTAAACCAGAAAAAGGGTTAGAATGTCAGAATGACCAAGAGATAAGCTAATTCATTCAAGAAGCAGTTACCCACCCACAGGTCCCTCCACTTCCTGCCAAGCATTCCATTGATTGCCAGTGTGAAACACATTCGTCCTAGATTGTAGAACACGAGGTCTGCTTCACTCACACATCTGGCAGGTGAAGATGGTCTTAGCTTTTGAGCCTTTCCTTCCATACCTCTCTACAGAAGAAAATGTCTCAAACAATATACCCTTGCCATTTAGGAACTTTCCTCAGCTCAGGGGACCCGTGACAGTCATCTTCCTTTAATCGGGTGAACAGTCTCTACTTCCTGGTTCTCTTACTGGCTGCAGGACTGTTCACAAGGCTTCCCTTCACACTCTGGTGTGAGTTACTGGTGTGCCTGTTAGGTTCTCACTGAAAACGTGCATTTTCTATGTTCAAGTGCAAGAAGAAAGTTGGACTAGTTTTCTAGGGTCCAAGCCAGTCCTATAAGAAGGCTGAAGGAGGAACTATGTGGCAGCCTATGCTATTTTCTGCCACCATTTCTCTTCCTCTGAAGCAGTCACAACATTCTCTTTTTGTTTGGTGACTAAAGTAGAAACTTTCCAGGGACATTTTCCTTCTAGATGATGATGGACAATTACAGACTTGCTCCTCATTGTCATCCTGTTTTCAGATTGTGACTGTACCTCACCTGAATCTGTTCTCTGTATTCGTGATCTCGGCAACTTCCTTGACTCTGTGTCAGGGGCCGAAGTGTTTAAGTCAACTATAGAACAGGAAAATCGTTTTCTTCTTCTCCCTGGGTCACTTAATAATTGGTCCATGGCCACCCTGTCACTTTATCCAGTGCTATGATGCTCATGAAACCTGGAAAATTAGTTCTGCTGGGGCATTTTGTAGATAACGATGGGTGAATTGCCTACTCTGTTTTGGTCTGAATGGTAGTCTTCATTCCTGCTGTGGCTGGGGGTGTTCATCAGTGCTTCCCACCTATCTGATTTATCTGTCTGGTCACATATGGAAACCCTGTGTGTCTGTTGGCATGACAGTCTACAAATTTTTTTTTTTTCAGTCCTGTCCAACTTCAGTGAACCAGCAAAAATAATTAGGTCTGCCCTGATATAAGCAGATTGTTCGCTTATTCTGTGTTTTATTCTCACATGTGGCAACATACTACCAGCCCCTTTCATAGTTTGGAAACATTTTATCATTCTAAATGTGACTCTGTACCCTTGGACCTGTTTATTATTTGCAGATGGGTAGAACATCTGCATGGACTGCACCGGACCACTCCACATCTGCCCCTCTCTGCCCTCCTGCTCCAGCCCCCCTTCCTGAAAGTATCAGCCTCCAATCCTGCTGCTTGGATCTTTTATACCCTTGTTCCTTCCCAAGCACAGCGTAGGACTTAATTTGCTTGTTTCTCCTCATTGAGATAATTTAATTTAGTTTGGGGGAAGGGGATGTGAAAGTTGCCATTCCAGACCACAGCCTTCGGTGATGAGGACAACACTGCCATTCAAACATTTTACCAATCTCTTAGATTTTAAGAACACTTGTATCTAATAAAAGGGAAGGTAAGAAGGATAATCACTTCCTCATATGAATTCTGATGTAGAGACTAAGTTTTTATGGGACACATCTTTTATGCCACTTATAGATCTCCCCACTCATTTTTGGTTTATTTTTATTGTTATAAATTCTTCTTTGATTCCTCTTCTGCCTATTTTTGTGGATAGGTATTGTTTGTTTGTTGCTTCTGTTTTGTTTTAAGCTTCATTTGCTGACATGTGATAGTGGGGGACAGAGAGGTTTGAAGGAAAGAGAGACCTTGAGGTAAAGATTTTTGTATAAGCAATCAGATGTGATGCTCAAATCCATTATGTCATCTTACTATTAAATTTGCCAGTTCATAATTCTTGCATAGAAAAGAACCAAAGGTGTAATGTTTTGTTGGCAGGTGGTTTGGAGATTTTGGCCTTAACCAATACATTGAATGTATGATAACTATTTGGGAGGACACATTTATATGCTCTGAGGCCCCCATTGATAACTGGTACTATGGCGACTTCCTTGTGTACATTTCTCTTTAAAAGTGATATTATATCTGTTTGTATGAGAAACCCATTAACCAATAAAATGACCGCATATTCCTGACTAGACACAGTAAGGAAAATGCACACTTTGTTTTTACTTTTCAAAGTTTCATTCTAAAAGTAGTTAAGATGAAATTTATATGAAAGCATTTTTATCACAAAATAAAAAAGGTTACATGTCAAGCTCAGTGGTGTTGAATTTTTTATTTTACTATCCTGCATCCCTGGCCTTTCAATGACTACCTCATGGTGTCATAATTTGCTGAGAGAGAAATAATTTTCTTTTCATTCTGAATCTCATAGAGCCTACCTAGCACCAGGCTTCGTTTTTCTTGCTGTAGTCAGATCATAAATAAATGCTTTTAAGGAAAAAGCTTCTATCAATAGGAAGCATCAAAAGACCAGGTCACTCTTCTGTGTATTAACCATAGCTGGTGACAAATGAACTGGCTCACGACAAAGTGCCTTATATTGGAAATGGAGAGTGTTTGGTAAAACAAAAATTGAGAATTAGGATATAAGTAATAATGTTAATGATGCTGTTACCTAAACCACTGGTTTGTAATATTATTCCTCAAATTAAATTTTTTATAGAATGTAATATATAGGATTATAAAAAGGTATTTTGTATGTAAATTTCTCAGTAAGTTCACATTCATATATTTACTTATATAATCAATGAGTGAGATGTTTGAACGTGAATGGTATTGGTGATAGGTATGATATTAGCAGTCTTATATCAACCTTAGTATCTAGTTTATTTACATATTCTGTCACTGCAGAAACTTCTGAATCGCACATGCATGATTGTAAATGAGGACAGTATTTTTTTAAATGACTTGAAATCTTAGGACATGCTTCAGTTAAGCAAAGGAGCTTTATTCAAGATCTGCACAAATATGTTTCAACAGAATTGGTAGCATGTAGTGGTTATACCCAGTGTTAAAATTTTATATAGAACACATTTGAGTCTTCATGTTGGGTTTTGTTATGGTGGAAGAACAAAAAAAAAAAAAAAACAAAAAAAAAACTGAGAGCTAAAGAATGACCACCCCTGCAGGCCAGCCTCTTAGCACTGGAATTACCTCTTGCAGACTGAGAACTAAAACTTGCTCCATGAAAACTAGCTTCAGTGGATCTAGGCTGCAGACCACTGGCCTGCTCGCCACATCCTAACCCTGCAATTGTAAACCTTCAAACCTAACCCTAGACTGTGCAGAGAGGATTCTGGGCACTCCTGGCCATGAAAGCCAAGGATACAAAGCAGGGCTGGAGGCCAAGTGCTGCCACATCCACACAGGTGGAGCAATAGCAGCAGACCATGGTCATGGCAGGAGAGGGGCGGGTGCCTCCTTCAGTCACGCAGTTAAAAAGCCTCATAGCCCAATGAGAGGGGATTGGTTACCCTTTCAGAACATGATGAACAGAACAACCCTTCTTAATGCCTAATTGCTGTCCAGGATGTGGGCAGTGGGGACCTGCAAGCCTATTACTGCCTCTGCCACAAAGTTTTCCAGCTATAGGGCTATGTGTGGGTGTGTGTATGTGTGTACATGTAGGTGTGTGTGTGTAAAACAGAGAGAACACAACTTTTCCTTCCTTTGACTTAGAGCTTAGCAAAACACATTTAAAATATTTGTACCAGTCAGATCCCAACTGCTAAGTGTCGGAACACTGAAATTAGGAAATTCAAAGAGGGCTTATTTACACACAAAAAAATTAATTATGAAGGTGTGTGTGAGGTGTAGGGGAACCACACGGGGTAGTGCAGAAACCCCTGGTTAGCATCAGCAGAGCTATTTCCATTCCTGGGTCCATAGGGGCAAAGGCTGGGAGAGGTTGTGAGACCTCAAAGGAGAGAGTCCTGTGGAGCAGGTTACCTCAAGATCTGTGGTTTCAGTCCAGGCACAGTGAGCCCCAGGCCCCCTCAGAAAGAGGAAGCCAGAGATGAATAGACTGATCTCACTTCCCACCCCACCCCTGTCCTCGGGTTTCTGTTTGCTGAATCCAAATGGAAGCCTGGAAATAGGGGAGCCTGTTAGTCCATCAATATAGGCCAGCTTCCTGGGGTTGAGAGCTCAGTGGAGAAGGGAAGAGAGTGGATCTGCAGATGCAAACACACCATTAGCTAACACACTCTCCCTCCAACTATAATATTTCTGAGAAACTTCCACTGATCACCTCTCATTCATGTGTCAAGGCAGGAAACACAAAGTAAAAGGAATTGGTATTGAAAATCCCCATTTAACTCCTTTTCCTGAACTACTAGTGAGTTTCTTCACCACTTTGGCATTGAGCACCCAAACTGGAGACAATGATCAACAGTAGGATGTATAAATTATGGTACATTCATTCAAACAAATGCTATACAGAAATGAAAAAGAACAACATGAAGAATAGTCATAATGTTGACCAAAATAAGCCAGACATAAAATACATTCTGTATGACTCCACTATACAAGTTCAGGAAAAACCAATAGAAAATGGAAATCTGAACAGTAGTAAATAGAAATGTGGATACATTTTCAGGAGAGGAGTCTTGACTAAGAAGAGGGCAAGAAGAATCTTTCTGGAGTCTGAAAATATCTTGACCTTAGTGGTGATTACATGAATGTATATGCATGTAAAATTTCCTGTAAAATTTAACTTAAGATTTGTGCATTTTACTTATGTAATTATACTTCAATAAAATGTATCTACAATAACCTACATAAATGTACAAACATTGAATGTTGAGATTTATAAAATGTTAATATTTTAGCATATCTATTTCAGATACTTAAAGATGATATAATGCTTCCAGTTTAACATTCCTCCATTTCCCTCTATAATTCCATTCCCCTCCCTCCTTCCTTTTCCAGTTACTTGTTTCTATAAATTTGGTTTGTGAAGATAATTTTCTTCTTGAAAACACTGTTGTTTGCAACAGTTAACCCACGAAATATCCAGGTAAATATGTTTTCAAATTCAATTGTGTAAGATGTGGGCCTACATGATTGTGAAGTTAATTAAGTGTGCGAGCCAAGCTAGTGTAGTCAGCTTGCTGTGCGGGAGGAGTTCTGAGCTCCAGCTGAATAATCTATACCGGCTGGGTCCTAGATGCTGTTTGGCACTATCTGGTAGCACTGTGTGCCTCAGCCTAAATATGTTTGGGATTGATTGTGGGTTTTGTAACCTGGATGGGATTTTCAGGAGCCTCATAGCAAATCATCACCTGTTTCATATGCTATTTCAGAGAATTTAGGTTAAGTAGATACTGGAATGAAGGGACCCATCCCTTGCCTCTCTGTCATAGAATTGTCTCATATTTCTCTGTCTCCCCTTTTTCTCACCTCCAGGATCCCTTTCTTTTGCCTTCTAGGGAAGGTTTAAGAACACGAACCTGGCAGAGGATAGGCTTCAACCACTAATTGTATGACATTATAATCTGTGTTACTGTGGTTACTGCAGGGTTTTACACAGAAGAATTGGAAAGGAGGTTAAAAAGACTGTATGCAGGCTGGCGCTCCCGCCGAGGGTTCGGATCCCATGTGGAGACCGGTTCCCACTCACTGGCTGAGTGTGGTGCTGGTGCAACACCGAGGGTTGTGATCCCGTTACCGGTCAGTAAAAAAGAGCCAAAAAGGAAAAAAAAAAAAAAAGACTGTATGCAGGCTGGCGCTCCCGCCGAGGGTTCGGATCCCATGTGGAGACCGGTTCCCACTCACTGGCTGAGTGTGGTGCTGGTGCAACACCGAGGGTTGTGATCCCGTTACCGGTCAGTAAAAAAGAGCCAAAAAGGAAAAAAAAAAAAAAAGACTGTATGCAGGCTGGCGCTCCCGCCGAGGGTTCGGATCCCATGTGGAGACCGGTTCCCACTCACTGGCTGAGTGTGGTGCTGGTGCAACACCGAGGGTTGTGATCCCGTTACCGGTCAGTAAAAAAGAGCCAAAAAGGAAAAAAAAAAAAAAAAAAAAAAGACTGTATGCCTGGACAGCCCAAGAAAACCTGCTGAAAAACTACAATAAACCATTAGGAATTCATTAAACAAAATGATGTAAAATTACCTTACGGAAACAGCCTTTGTTATAAACAAAAACCAGTTGGAAGATGTAATTGAAAAGAAAACCACATTTATAATAGTGAAAACATACACACACACCATCTCCCACTGCTTCTTCACCAATTACAGCTTTATCAATTTTTTATCAACTACAGCTTTAGCTCTGCTTTATTCTTCCCATCCTTTTACTTTATTTTTTCCCATTTTTTCTGCACTGCTTTTCTTATTTTCTAGATAAAAATCATAAATACATCTGGTCATGCTCACAACTTAGATAAAATTCATTAAGATCCCCAATTCCTTGAACCCACCTCTGTATCACCTAATGCAAGTCTAAATCCTGAGATACCCATATTTCCTCAAGAGGTGTGATTTTTCTTGCTGCAACAAGCATCAATAAAGCCATCTTTGACTCACAGTGGTACTCCTGGCGGTGTCTGACTGACAAACATCAGCAACGGCCTGTGCTGAAACTAAAAGACAGAAAAAAAAAAGCATTTTAACACCTGGTTACGTACAGAGCACTGACTGAAACAGTGAGAATTTAGGAATTTATTTCAAGAATATCTGGAACATTCACAAAAATTGAATGTATAAATCTCAGAAACTTTCAAAGAACCATTATCATACAGTTATCTCTGAATATAGTCCTATCAAATTAGAAAGAAAAATAAAAATGTAACCAAAATTTTTTTTATTTATAAATAATCTAGTCATTAACATAAATATAAATTACAAGATCTTTAGAGCTGCACAAAAGTACTTCTCAAATATTATCACTATATTTGAAATACTAGTTATTAAAACTTATGCAAAGCAACTGAAGTTTTATTTTATTTTTATTTTTATTTTTTTTATTTTTATTTTGTCAATATACAATGTAGTTGATTATTATGTCCCATCACCGAAACCTCCCTCCCTCCTCCCTCTCCCCCTTCCCACCCAAGCATGTCCTTTCCATTTGCTTGTTGTAAGAACTTCAAAGAAATTGTAGTTGTTATATCTTCCTCTCCCCTGCACCCATTTTTTTTTTTTTTTGGTGTGTGTGTATGTGTGTGTGTATATGTGTGTGTATGTATGTGAGTGAATTAATTTATTTATTTTTAGCTCCCACAAATAAGTGAGAACATGTGGTATTTCT